ATTATAAGCTAGTTGGAACTAGAAAAAGGTACCCAGGCTGAGGAGTATGGGCCCATATTAAGGACATGCCAAATTGAAGGGAACCCTGTCATTATGTACCTATGCCTCGGCCCAACAGGACCTGAGTTAACCTCCCCCACTTCAGATTTGAAAAACTATATAAACTGACATGCCTTAACCTAGTTACTGCAGACCTATGCCTTCATCTTTCAAGAACCTTCTGAATCGCCACCAACCAGACTCTCCAATCACAAAATCCCAAAACAGCCAGGGGCCCCTACCGATACCCCCATTTCCAGAAAACCGAGAAAGGAAAATAGTGAAGGAGATGCTTGAAAAGAAATAAATACAGCCCATCACCAACCCATACTAAGCTCCAGTACTCTTAATGAAGAAAAAGGAGGATCACAGCAGTTTTTTGTAGATTATAGGGCTTGAACAAAATCACAATCAAGGACTGATTCCCAATACCTGTGATTGATGAGTTGTTGGATGAGATAGGGTTAGCCAATGTCTTCTCTAAGTTGGACCTAAGGTCAAGATACCACCAGATAAGGACATAAGGGTACACCTTAATGACGTCCATAAAACTGCTTTCTGGACCCACAAGGGAAATTACGAATTTCTGGTCATGCCCTTTGGGCTCTCCAATGCACCGTCCACCTTTCAAGCTCTAATGAACGAAGTCTTCAAACCATATCTCCGTCAATTTGTTTTGGTCTTCTTCGATGATATCTTGGTTTATAGTTCAGATTGGGATTCCCATTTGAATCATCTCTGGCTTACATTTGAAGTGACGAAGGCACACCATCTGTTTGCCAAAGAATCTAAGTGCTCTTTTAGGCAAACACGAATGCATTATTTGGGCCACATCGTGGAACAGGGAAGGGTCACGACTGACCCAAAAAAGACCTCAGTAATGGTGACATGGGTGGGCCAGGCCCAATTCAGTTAAAAACCTTAGAGGTTTCCTAGGGTTAACTGGATACTATCGTCGCTTTATAAAGGGGTATGGCCAGATTGCTGCTCCACTGATCCGACTACTCAAAAACCAATGGATTTCAATGGGACGACTCAGTCGAACAGGCCCCTTTGAAGCCCTCAAGACTGTTGTCTACTCCCCCTATTTTGTCATTGCCTAACTTCACCAAGACCTTTATTGTCGAAGCCAATGTATCGGGGACGGGTCTAGGGGTAGTTTTGATGCAAGACAGCCAGCCCATAACATTCTACAGCAAGGCCCTCTCACCCCAGGCCCAAACTAAGTCTACTTATGAAAAAGAATTGATGGTCATCGTGTCATGAAGTGGAGGGCAACAGAGCCTCAAGCACCTCTTGGATCAATCAGTTCTAACACCTAAACAGCAGAGATGGGCTTATAAATTAATGGGCTTCAATTTTCAGATTGAGTACAGGCCTGGGGCCACCAATGCCCTTTCCCAAACCACTGAGTTCCTCTCCATGGATGTATCCAGGCCCATTTGTCCTCTATTGGACCAAATTAGGCAGGAAGCCCAGCAGGATCCAACTTTAGGGCATATCAGGGGTATTTGGGCCCAGAACCCTTTTGACGTTCCAGGATACAGTGTTTAAAAAGGGGATCTTTTCTACAAGGGCCGACTGGCAGTCGCCCCAAATTCTGAATACTGCCAAGAGCTTCTCCAGTTATTCCACCAATCAGCTATTGCAGGGCACTAGGGAACCCTACATACCTACAAGCACCTCTCTAACCACTACTACTGGTTGGGCATGAAGAAACATGTGTGAGAATTTATTGCTGCATGCCATGTTTGTCAACAGAGAAAATACAATAGCCAGACTCCGGCAGGGCTCTTGCAGCCACTACCCATACCCAATTAGGTCTGGGAAGAGATCACCATGGATTTTATTATGGGCCTTCCTACTTCAAATGTAAGTGAGTTGTCTTAGTGGTTGTTGATCGACTTACCAAATATGCCCATTTTTCTGCTCTTTTCCTCCCCTATACAGTTTCCCATGTGGCTCGGATTTTCATCCAAGATATTCCAAACTCCATGGCACCCCGATGTCCATTATAACAGATTGGGACCCTACATTTATGAGCAGGTTTTGGAGGGACTATTTCAGGGCCCAAGGGACTGAACTACACTATTCAACTAGCTACCACCCTCAGACAGATGGCCAAACTGAGGTGGTGAACCGGTCCCTGGAGACTTACCTCCATTGTTTCGCCAGTGACAGACCGAAATAGTGGACAAGATGGCTCCACTGGGCAGAGATCTGGTATAATACCTCCTTCCATGCATCAGCTAGTATGACCCCCTTCCAATTACCTCCATTGTTTCGCCAGTGACAGACCGAAATAGTGGACAAGATGGCTCCACTGGGCAGAGATCTGGTATAATACCTCCTTCCATGCATCAGCTAGTATGACCCCCTTCCAATTACCTCCATTGTTTCGCCAGTGACAGACCGAAATAGTGGACAAGATGGCTCCACTGGGCAGAGATCTGGTATAATACCTCCTTCCATGCATCAGCTAGTATGACCCCCTTCCAAGCATTGTATGGGAGGGAGCCTTTGTCCATTCTACCCTACGAAGTGGGGTCCTCAGTTGTTGGGGAGATGGATGCCCACCTAACAAAATGGGATGCAATCATAAGGTAGTTGAAGGAACACTTACGAAGAGCTCAGTCTCAGATGAAATGCCACTATGACAAAAAGCATAGAGAAGTGCAGTTCCAAGTGGGCGACCAAGTCTGTCTGAAACTGCAGCCCTACCATCAGCTGACTGTGGCGAGAAGAGGTAGCTTATCAACTGGCCCTTCCCCCCAACTCCAGACTATGCCCAATATTTCATGTTTCTCTCTTGAAGACTTGCCTCAACCAAAGCACTCAGGTCTGCAACACCCTTCCTGAGTTCTCTGAAGATGGCACTCCACAACTGATCCTCATCCAGGTGCTAGATTATCGTTGGGTCAAAAGTGGCAAGAAGTCTATACGTGAGGTTTTAACCGCTTGGTCTAGATTTCCTATAGACGATGCAACTTGGGAATCCTGTTCTTACATCAAACAACAGTACCCTGCTTTCAACCTTGAGGACAAGGTTGCTCTTTGCTCTTTAGGGGGAGGCAATTGTTGAGAGCCCGTAGGGCCCATCATGCCCAGCTGAGACTCAGGCCCAGGAGAAGGCTCATGCAGACAACCACCCAACGGCAGAAGGAGAGACCCAGGCCCGCCACCCAATTCGTGTTGTGTACACACAGAGGCTGAAGGACACATCAGCTTAATCAATTGGAATCTACACATAGTTAGTCAGAATCGGTTATGAACCGATCAATAAATAATGATTGTAATAAAATAGTATAAATAGTGGTCTTGGAAGGAGAAAGGCATACGAGAGACATTTCCTTTTGATGATTCTTCTTCTTCTTTCCTTCTCTGTGAAGGTGAACCCCCTCGAAGTGGTTCCTGTATTGGGCAGTAACCCAACAATCTCCCAATGAAAGTATGTCTTAGATCTTGTTGCGGAAATTGGGAAACTTGGTGCCAAACCTTCTTCTACACCTATTGATGCTAGCCATAAGCACTCAGCTAATGATGGTGAACTCTTGATAGACAAGGGAGTGTTCCAGAGAGTTTAGGGGAAGTTATTATACCTTTGCATGACATGGCCAGATATCTCATATGTTGTCAGTGTAGTCAGTCTATGCATGCCCCAAAGACATGCATATGGCTGAGGTAGCATGGTTTTTGTGTTACTTGAAGGAAACTCTAAGAAAGGGTAGTCTCTTCTCTAGGCATGGACACATGAAGCTATAGGCTTACACAAATGCTAATTAGACTAGTAATATTGATGATAGAAGATCCACATCTGGTTATTGTGCTTTGGTAGTGGGGCACATTGTCTCGGAGAAATAAGAAGCAATTAGTAGTAGCCAAATCTTCAGCTAAGGCAAAGTACATGGCCATGACGCATTAAGTTTCAGAGTTGTTATGGCTCAGGTCACTTCTAGAGGAGAAAACTATTGCATATGATAAGCCCTTGATGTTGAACTATGATATCCAAGCTACAACTAACATGCATATGGCTGTTGTAGTATGGTTTTTGTGTTACTTGAAGGAAACTCTAAGAAAGGGTAGTCTCTTCTCTAGGCATGGACACATGAAGCTATAGGCTTATACAAATGCTAATTGGACTAGTAATATTGATGATAGAAGATCCACATCTGGTTATTGTGCTTTGGTAGTGGGGAACATTGTCTCGGAGAAATAAGAAGCAATCAGTAGTAGCCAGATCTTCAGCTAAGGCAAAGTACAGGGCCATTACACATTGAGTTTCAGAGTTGTGATGGCTCAGGTCACTTCTAGAGGAGAAGACTATTGCATATGATAAGCCCTTGATGTTGAACTATGATAACCAAGCTACAATTAACATAGCTAACAATCCAATTCAGCATGATAGGACAAAACACATTGAAGTATAACAACATTTTATAAGAGAAAGAGTGGCTTCCAAAGAAATTTGTCTTCCTTTCATTGCCTCGGTTAGTAGATGTTCTAACCAAGGGTGCCCCTAAGGCAAAGTTACAGTACTATCTAAGCAAGTTGGGCATGATTGATATCTATGCTCAGCTTGAGGGGGAGTGTAGAGATAATGGGCCGAATGGTCCATGAGTCATTATTATTTGTTGATTTCTGCTCATGTTTTATTTCTGTGGTTGGTGGGGCCTGTTTTATTTCTTTTATTATTTTTTCTAGTGCTAGTCGCCATACTAAGGGTATTCATTTAATTGTTCCCTTCTTACAATCAAAGAAGAACATAAATGTGGGCACTGGAGAGAGGTTTGAATTCTCTCTTCCTTCCTTCCCTTTTCTTCCATCTTTCTCCAATGTTTCTCTCTTCCATCTTCACTCTTCTTCTGTTCTATTTTCTATTTTATTTCAAATTATTACAGGTGGGATTTACATCTAACATAAAGGAAAAGCATAGCAATGAACACAAAACTTGAATGTCATACCAGGAATTACAATGTCACCAAGTCCAAGCATGGAATATGGTCGTGCAGAATCTGCCGTTGGGAACAAAAGCTACCAAGAAGGAACAAGAAAGTGTAATTAGATAAAGCAAACCAATAACACCCCCACTTGTCGATCATTGCAAATGACAATGCCAAGTAATATGAACTGACCTTTATTGGAGCATCAAAAGATTTTGCAACACTAACCATCACCGGAGTAAAGAAGACCCAAAATATATCATATACAAAAAGGCCAGCCTGTAATTACAGATATGCAAGGTAAACGTAACTATCAAATGGAGAAATTATTTTTAAGGTATAAAAAGAAAGAAATATACAAGGGAGAAAATCCCAGAAAGGCATATAAAGGAGGGAAAAAGGGATTAAAAACTCCCCCTCTGACAAAATGTAAGAAAAACTGATGCATAGATAAAAGTTCAAGGACATTTGCAATTTGTATCTATCAGAATCAACATCCTTCAAATAAGAAACATGGTCAACAATGACTAGAAAGTGTAGAGAAATGCCTACCATCATAGAGAGAAAAGAACAGTTAAGAAGATCAGGATGCGTTTATTACTTTCTCTCAAAAATACTATATTATCAGTGTAGAGAAATGCTATATTATCATTAGAGGCTGGAGAGTAGGGAGGGTGGAAACCCCCCTTACTCACTTGCAGTTTGCTGACGACACGATTCTGTTTTGTGAAGGCAATAATGTGAGCTTTATAAGGAATTTGAAGTCAGTGATACAACTGTTTGAGCAAATATCTAACTTGAAGATTAACCTTGGGAAAAGTTGTGTTGTGGGGGTGAATTTGGAGGAGGGAGAGATCAGGGAGAGTGCTGAAGTGCTGGGGTGTGAAGTCTCGGGGTGGCCTTTGAACTACTTAGGGTTGCCTTTAGGTGATAATCCCATGAGAGAGAGCTTTTGGAACCCAG